TCACAGGAAGCAAATCCAAATTCATAGTCCCTCTCACCTCCAGTCTAGTTCCTTCACAACCTCTGCTGTTCTCCAGTGTACCCCTCTCCATAACTCCCTCTATCTTCAGCAATCTTCCCCCCATTTCTTTTTCCTTTTATTATGTAGACTAATTTAGCCTTCCTTTACAGCAAAGTTTCACCAATTCCCTAAATCTGTCCCAAATGACTAAAAGTTGAACGCTTTTAGAAGAAGTAGAGGAAATTGAGCTGGCCGTTGAAGAGTTTTCTTTGGCGGGCTCGGGAAGGGAAAGCCATGCACTTTATTTTTGTCCTGTCCTGTTTTTTTTTTTTTTTCCTTGAACCTTTTATTATGTTTTAGGAGAAAGTTTACACAGTAAGTTAGTTTCCCATTCAACAGTTTATACAGAAATTATTTTGTGACGTTGACTGCTATCTCCACAATGTGTCCTCACTTTCCCCATTTCCACTCTGCCTTCCCTGTCCTTCCTGTCCTTCCAGTTTCCCCTCCTCTTCTTTGTGTTCTCTTCTCTTCATTGCTTTTGGGCAATTATTGCCCCTTTGGTCTGCTATGATTGATTGTTTTAAACAGCACATGCTTCACAGGTGTTATTTCTTTTATAGGCCAATCTATTATTTGCCTGAAAGGTGACGGTGACCTCCACAAGTGATTTCAATTCCAGGTTAAAAGGGCGTCTTAGGGTTTTAGTCTAAGAGGTTCCTTCAGTCTGTATCAGTCCAGAACATCTGGTCTTTTTTTTTTTTTTTATGAGTTTGAGTTTTGTTGTGCATTTTTCTCCCATTCTAACCAGGATTTTCTATTGTGTCCCTCATCAGAGTGGTAACCAGGCACCATCTAGTTCTGTTCACTGTTCATGATTCACTGTTGTGTTCACTGGTTCCTGTTCCCCCTCCACTCCTTAGCCCATTCCTATAGATAAGGACCCAAGTATAAGCAGCATCAAAGTTGGGGTGAGCAAGGCCTTCGTGTACCAACCCCATCCCAGCCCTCCTTTTAAAAATATTTTGGACTGTGGTATAAGAAAAGTTCCTCTATTCCTTCAAACCTATTTTTAAAACTGAGGGTGATGAAGCCTTTTCAGACCAATTTCAGAGATGGCTCCATTCAGCCCTCGGCAAGTGATTGCTAAAGAGCCACTAACCCTGCAGCCAAAAAGGAGAAGCAGTTTGTGGACTGGGGTGCTCAATCCAGAAGTAATCAGTTTTCAAAGGCCTGGTTTCTTGTTTCTTGGGTTTAGAGTCTTAAAAAGGGGTATCTTAGCTTCATGTCCCCAACATGGAAAAAATTTAAAATAAGACAATCACTTATAAAATTCAAATTTAAACTTTCTTGTGACCTCTGAATACTGGGAGTCTAGTTTTTGCATCCATGGACCCACTCAAGGCAACACAACACACAACACACACACACACACACACACACACAGAGGCACATATATAACAATAGCCTTTTGGAAATACTAACGTTAACACAGACAAAATTATGAATTTCCTAAGTCCTTCTCTGGGCATTGGTTTATGTTAGGTTTCCCATCAAGAGACACGACTCTCGTTTGTATGTGGCTTCTTCTGTTGTGTTCTGTGCACATCTTGGGTCCAGAGATAGGAATATCTGTGAGCCCCAGCACTCACCTCCTGTCTGGGTGACTGTGTCCCATCAGTGCCTCCATGCATTTTCCTCTGCCATTGGCCACCAGATGGCACTCTGGAAGCATTCTTACCAGGAGACTTTTCTACACCAAAGCTCCCAGGAATCACTTCTAATTTGACCTCCTTCCCTTCTCGCTGTTCCTTCAGATTCATTTCCCAGAGCTCAGCAAGAAGGGGCTTTCTGAAAATTGAATCTTCGTGATCTTGGGCAAGTTACCTAACCCTTTGTGTTTGAGCTTCTCCATCCTGATGGCCTAGTTGTGAGGGTGGCATGAGATGATGCAGGTAACACACTTAGGACAAGGCTCGGAATGTGGAAATGTGGCTGCTCTTCTGATCCTGCTTATAGCCCTTCAGAAGCCCCCCCACCCCTTGGCCTTCAGGACAAGGCCCAAATCCTTAGCAAAGGACCTCAGACCTTCCATCGTGTGCAGGCCACCTCCCTCCTCACTCTGCCACCAAATACTTGCAGCTCTGTAAGGAGCCAGTTCACCCACCTCTAGTCAGCTCATTCTGCTCTCTGCCTGCTTTGCCTCTCCCCTGCCCACCCACCATCTTCTGGTTAATTCCTCCCTGTCCTTCAGGATGTAGCTGTGTGTCCTCCATGAGGAGCCTTCCCTGACCCCCAGGCCTGAATTCAGAGCCACTCTCATTACACTGTAAGTCCCTTGGAGGTTACTTTGTCTTGTACATAGCTCGGCACGTAGTAGGATGAATGAGGTTGTCATGTGGACTGACTGTCACCATAGGACAACAAGCAGGAGCTATGTCTCTGAGCTCTGAGTGCTGCTTAGCAGCCAGGGAGCAAGAGGCTGGCTTCCCACAAGCACAGGCAGTACCCTGCCAGAGCCCAACCTCAGAGAGGCCTGGGAATGAGCTTTTCTGGCCAAAGAGGCAAAGAAAAAAGCGATAGACAAGGCAAGACCATCTTTACCAGGAATAAACCCTGGAAAATTGTTTTTGTTGTTAATGTGCCATCGAGTGGCACCTGACTCATAGCAACCCCTCCTTGGGTTTCCCAGGTAGTTTCACTATGGAAGTAGATTGCCCAACCTTCCTTCTGAGGAATGGCTGGTAGGTTTGAACCACTAGTCTTCAAGTTAACAGTCAAGTGTCTCAGGCACTACATACCAGAGCTCCCCCTGGAAAATAATGAACAGTAAAATAATAGTTCCATGTACTGAGTGGTTTCTTTGTGCCAGGCTCTAGGCTGAGCCCATTGTGTGTATCATCTCATTGACTCCTTACAGTGAACTCATGAGGTGGATAACATTAGTCTCACTTTACAGAAAAGGAAGCTGAAGCTCAGAGAGGTTTGGTGACTTGTGTGACATCTCAGAGCTTGTGAGTGGACTGTCTCCAGAGTCAAGTGGGGGAAATACTTCCGGGGTTCAGGGCCATTGCTGTGGTTCTTGAGCTTCAGTGAGATGGCTGGGAAACCTGAGGTGCAGAATATTGAAAGGACAGGGCTGTGAAGAAAAGACAGACAGAAGGAAGGGAGCTCAACTATGCAGACTCAAATGGTCCTTAGGCCCAGGGCATTCCCTTTGCTACCCATGTCCTGATGGCCATAGGCTCCATGCCAAAAAGCCTTGCTGATTAGGGTCACTTGGATCCAAATAGGGTACCTATGCCCCCAAGGGTTCAGGTGCAAAGACCCATCTAAGGAAGCTGGCTCTTCGCCATCACCTCAAACGCTTTACAGACCTCTGGAATCAATCTCTAGGTGGGGCGAAGGCTGGGAAAATATGGGGACTGTGGGCAACAGACTAAGGAAGGAAATGAAAAGCAACAAGGCCAGCTCAAAGGCAACCCCAAGCAAACTGCTACCTGCCCCCCTTGTGGGCCTCATCTCTGTGAGAAAGTAAGTGGGAGGGAGGGAACACCAAAAAACATCTAGGGGGTTCTGGGGTAGGGCAGCAAGGGAGTCATAGGTCAAGAAAGTCTGTCATAAACAGAAATGGGGAGCAAAGAATTGGAGGAAAGAAGGGAAAGACACAGATGAAAAGGAGAAGAAGGTGTGGGAGAGGGAAAAGTATAAAATTCTCTGAGACAGAGGAATGGGAGGCTGGGGCTTCCCCAGACAGTGGCTCAGGCTGGACCAGGCACACAGAACAATAGACCATGAGGCTGGGGGAAGCAGGAAGGGGAGGGCAGGGGAGCCACACAATCAGGTCAGGGAAGTCTTTGAGGCTTCCCGAACCAAAGCAGTGGGCACCCATATGGATCAGTGTGGGCAGATATTGCCCCAGGGGCAGCAGCAGATTACCCAATAAGCAAGATAAGAACAGGTTTACTTGTGCTTAGTTACTGCTAATCTATAGTGAACAATTTTACCACATGATGTGGTGAAAACATGTAAAACTCTTCACTACAGATTAGGAAGCAAGCACAAGCAAGCCTTTGCTTACTGGGTACTCCAACCCTATCATGGATTGTAAATTTGAAAAGAGGCTTTAATTCTGTAGGAAGGTGCAGTGGGGTTTGGAGAGAGACAGATGCCAGCCATACCTAGAAGCAGAGTCTTCGATGCGGTGAAAAAAATGTGAAATTCTTCACTACAGATTAATAAGTAAACACAAGTAAGCCAGTGCTTATCTTGCTTGTTGGGTACTCCAACATTGCCTCAGGGCAGTGCAAGAGCCAGGAACAGTCACAAAATGGGACAAGCCACAAGGATTTCAGCACCCACCATGAATAATCACATTATTGCCTGCAACTCTGGCAAGGCCCAAGAGAAGGCCCTTCAGGTATCACTTCATTTAATCCTTACAACTTCTTGCAGAAAGGGTGACTGTTGTGATCCCTGTCCCCACTCTGCCAATGAGGTCACAGCGGCCCAGAGAGGTTAAGTGACTTGCCTCAGATGACCCCACTGGTAAGTTTCAACCCTAGGTTTGAACCCTGACAGTTTAGCTCTGAAGGCTGCTCTCTTAACTACAGCTGCTTCCTCATGAGACAAAAATGGGTCAGAGATAAGAACAAGAGGTAAAGTGTGAGAAAAAAGAAAGGAATGAAAGAAGAAGAGGAAAAAATGGGGAGAGATGAAGAAGGGAAGAGAGACAGGCAACTTGGACAGGGGAGCTTCAAGGTTCTCAGCTCACTTTGTGACCAAAGGTTCCTTCCCGTCCCCTCAGCAGCCACCATGCTGTGAGGATAGCACCTTTCCATCCAGCCTGCCCCTGGAGCCAGTCGCATCCTCCTCAGCAGCAGGCCACTCAGCTTCACAGGAAGTGCTCTTTCTCTAATTGGCATTGAAACTCCCAGCCCTCCCTTTTCCTGTAGGTGGGGTTTCCATAGGAAAAAGCTGCTTCTCTATTTCCCCAGCCTAGCAACTGTTTGGAAGTCAAATCCCCACATCCTGCTCTGTGTCAAACCCTCCTTGGGCCGGCTTTTGTCCATCACTTGCTGAAGTAGACCAACTGGTGCCTGGTGCGGGGCCTCCCCTGGCAATTCTACTTCATTGGTGCTTGGACCTCTCAGATCTTTTCAGATGAAGATGGCCTTGCCTGGGAATCCTGCTTGTTCCATCATCATCTAACTATGGGACGAGGCTGTAGCAGTGGGTTTGGGGGCAGGAGAACAGAGCTAATCCAGCCATCCAGGAAACACTGGAGGACTTGACCAGCCTTTAAAGGACTCTAGTGGTTTCTGAATCTAGCCCACTCTGGCGGTAAGCATGATGCAACTTCTGCAGCTTCTGCTGGGGCTTTGGGGGCCAGGTGGCTACTTGTTCCTTACAGGGGATTGTCAGGAGGTGGCTACTCTCACTGTGAAATACCAAGTATGGGAGGAAGTGCCATCCGGCACTGTGATAGGGAAGCTGTCCCAGGAACTGGGCTGGGAGGAGAGGCCATCAGGGGCCACCTTTCAGGTCTTGCAGCTGCCTCAAGTGCTCCCCATTCAGGTGGATGCTGAGGACGGCTTGCTCAGCACAGGGCGGCGGCTAGACCGAGAGCACCTCTGCCGGCAGCGGGATCCCTGTCTGGTTTCCTTTGACGTGCTTGCCACAGGGGATTTGGCTCTGATCCACGTTGAAATCCAGGTGCTAGACATCAATGACCACCAGCCACAGTTTCCCAAAGGAGAACAGGAGCTGGAAATCTCTGAGAGTGCCTCTCTGCACACTCGGATCCCTCTGGACAGGGCTGTTGATCCAGACACTGGCCTCAACACGTTGCACTCATACACCCTATCTCCCAGCGAGCATTTTGCCCTAGATGTCATCGTGGGGCCAGATGAGACCAAATATGCAGAACTAGTGGTAGTGAAGGAGCTGGACCGGGAAATTCACTCATTTTTTGATCTGGTGCTAACTGCCTATGATAATGGGGACCCCCCCAAGTCAGGTACTAGCTTGGTCAAGGTCAATGTTCTGGACTCCAATGACAATAGCCCTGTATTTGCTGAGAGCTCCCTGGCACTAGAAATCCAGGAAGATGCTGTCCCTGGTACTCTTCTCATAAACCTGACTGCCACGGACCCTGACCAAGGCCCCAATGGGGAGGTGGAGTTTTTCCTCAGCAAGCATGTGCCTTCTGAGGTGCTAGACACCTTCAGTATTGATGCCAAGACGGGCCAGCTCATTCTGCGTCAACCTCTAGACTATGAGAAGAATCCTGCCTATGAGGTGGATGTCCAGGCAAGAGACCTAGGTCCCAATCCCATCCCAGCCCATTGCAAAGTTCTCATCAAGATTCTGGATGTCAATGACAATGCTCCAAGCATCCATGTCACATGGGCCTCCCAGTCACCAATGGTATCAGAAGCTCTTCCCAAGGATAGTTTCATTGCTCTTGTCATGGCAAATGACTTAGACTCCGGCAACAATGGTCTGGTCCACTGCTGGCTCAACCAAAAGCTGGGCCACTTCAGGCTGAAAAGGACCAATGGCAACACATATATGCTGCTAACCAATGCCATGCTGGACAGAGAACAGTGGCCTGAATATACCCTCACTCTGTTAGCCCAGGACCAAGGGCCCCAGCCCTTATCGGCCGAGAAACAGCTCAGCATTCAAATCAGTGATGCCAACGATAATGCACCTGTATTTGAGAAGAGCAGGTATGAAGTATCCACTCGGGAAAACAATCTACCCTCTCTTCACCTCATCACTGTCAAGGCTCATGATGCAGACTTGGGCATTAATGGAAAAATCTCATACCGCATCCAGGACTCCCCAGTTTCTCACTTGGTAGCTATTGATGCAGACACAGGAGAGGTCACTGCTCAGAGGACACTGGACTATGAACAGATGGCCAGCTTTGAGATCCGGGTGATCGCAGAAGATAGGGGGCAGCCCCAGCTCGCATCCCATGTCTCTATGTGGGTCAGCCTCCTGGATGCCAATGACAATGCCCCAGAAGTGATTCAGCCTGTGCTCACCAATGGAAAAGCTAGCCTCTCAGTACTTGTAAATGCCTCCACAGGCCACCTTCTGGTGCCCGTTGAGACTCCCAATGGCTTAGGTCCAATAAATGCTGATATACAACCACCAGCCACCCACGGTCCTCGGCCATTCCTTTTGGCAACCATTGTGGCAAGAGATGCAGACTCAGGGGCCAATGGAGAGCTCCTCTATAGCATTCAGAGGGGTAACAAAGCTTGCCTCTTTGTCCTCAGCCCCCACCTGGGGCATCTGTTCATCAATGTCACCAATGCCAGCAGCCTCATTGGAAGTGAATGGGAGCTGGAGATAGTGGTGGAGGACCATGGCAGTCCCTCCTTGCAGACTCAAGCCCTATTGAGGGTCACGTTCGTCACCAGTGTAGACCATCTGAGGGACTCAGGCCGTGAGCCTGGGGTTCTGAGCACATCAATGTTGACTGTGATTTGCCTGGTAGTACTGCTGGCCATCTTCGGGTTGATCTTGGCTCTTGTCATGTCCATCTGCCGGACAGAGAAGAAGGACAGCCGGGCCTACAACTGTCGGGAGGCTGAGTCCACCTACCGCCACCAGCCCAAGAGGCCCCAGAAACACATTCAGAAGGCAGACATCCATCTTGTGCCTGTGCTCAGGGGCCAGGTGGATGAGCCCTGTGAAGTCGGACAGCCCCACAAAGACACAGGCAAGGAAGCAAATATGGGTGAAGGCTGGGACCCTGGCCTACAGGCCCCATTTCACCTCACTCCCACCCTGTACAGGACCCTGCGTAACCAAGGCAACCTGGGAACACTAGCTGAGAGCCAGGAGGTGCTGCAGGACACAGTCAACCTCCTTTTCAACCACCCCAGGCAGAGGAATGCCTCCCGGGAGAATCTGAACATTCCTGAGCCCCAGCCCACAATGGACCAGCCACGCTCAAGGCCCCCAAAGGCTGCAGGTAACCCCATTGGGAGACTGCCTGGAGACCAAGGCACTGGGGAGGCTCCACTGAGCCCAGCAGCCTCCTCTGCAACCCTGAGACGGAAGCGGAATCTCAATGGCAAAGTGGCCCCTGAGAAAGAGTCAGGTCCCCGTCAGATCCTGCGGAGCCTGGTCCGGCTGTCTGTGGCTGCCTTCGCAGAACGGAATCCCGTGGAGGAGCTCACCATGGATTCTCCTCCTGTTCAGGTATCTCAGATGTGGGCAATCCCTTCCTGGTCACCTCCTGACCACCAACAATGGTCCTATTACCATCACGTTCCTTTTATCCATAACTTTATGGTGTATGGTGTGGCAGTGGCTCAGGGCACAGTTCTGGTGTCAACAGCACTTACTACCTGTGTGATCCTAGGCAAATCACTCATTGTCTCTGAGGCTTAGTCTCCTTATCTGTAAAATAGGGATGATAGAAAGAGTTCCATCTTGTAGAGTTGTCTGAGGATTTCATCAGTCAGTCCCTATAAAGTATTTACTCATGGTGACTGGCACATAAAGATACAGCAAAGGTAGTGATTAAAACCACAAGCTTTGGAGCAAGGCTGCCTGGGTTCAAATCCTGGCTCTACCTCCTCCAAGCTTCTGTGTTGAGGATGTTGATATTAACAGCATCCACCTTCTAAGTTTACTGTGAAAATAAAATAAGTGAATGAACTTAATGCTCTTGGAACAGTGTCTGGAAGGCAAGTGCTCAGCAAGTGGTTAATTACTATTACTTCTGCAAAGCACTTCTTCATATCCACTGCTCTCATCTCATCTGGGCAACATCCTTATGAAGTAGGCAGGCATGGGCATCATTGCACTGGCACAGGAGTTGCATTTGACTTGCCTAAGATTCTATAGCTCATGGGGGGGTGCAGTGGAAATAGCCTTGGCACTTGGAAGTTAGGCAGACCTCAGTTCAAACTTCAGCATAGTGGCTTAAGAGTTGCGTGACCTTGGACAAGTCTTTCAACATATGAGCTTCATGTGGCATAGTGACTAAGGCATTTGACTGCTAGCCAGAAGGCTGGCGGTTCAAACCCACCAGCCACTCCTTGGAAGGAAGACTGGGGCAATCTACTTCCATAGAGATACTGCCTCAGAAACTGAAGGAGGGGTCACTATGAGTTGGATTCAACTTGAAGGCAGTGAGTTTGGTTTTGGGTTTTTTTTTATAAAATGGGGATTATAATGTCAAAATTTCCCTGCAGCTACCTCCCAGGAGGGTGTGAGGATTAAATGGGATGATGAACAATAAAAATGTCTAGTGGCTGGGATTTTCTAGGCCCAAATGGGAAATCTTTTTCATGGGTGGTGTCTGATCTCACACCCATATCCACTCCTCTGAACCCCCATATAGTTTTTACTGTGCCAGGCTGCCAGCTCAAGGCACACTTCTGTTTGGTCAGGCGACCAGCTTTGGTTCCAAAGAGCAAGGACATGGCTTTCTCCCCTGACACCCTCCCCAGGAAGCCACCTGGAGTGGGTCCAGCTGCTCTCATAGGAGTCTTGCCCTGGGCATTCATTCATTCATTCAGCAAGTGCTTATTGGATGAGCTCTTTATGTCAAACACTCTGCTGGTTGCTGGTGAATAGAGGCATTAGAGAGAGGCCTTGTAGGTGACCTAACTGGGGTGACAGAAAGAAAGGTGCCCATTTGGAAGTTACTGGAAGGTAAGAGGCAGTTTGCCCAATGTGCATGTCTCTTGGGTGCTGCACAGCGCCGCAGGGGAGTCAGGGCACTAGGTTTCATTCCAGCCCTGCCACTATTTGCTATGTAACCCCTGTGAGCCTTAGTTTCCACATCTGCAAAATGGGTATAATAATATCTCTTCCCTGGGTTATATTAAGGATTAAATGAGATTGTATAGCACTTGATAAGTTATTAAGTGCTTGTTATGGGATCTATTAATAAGGTTAATATGCTTTGGCTCATTTCATCCTCATAACCACCATACGACCCAGGTTTCATTATTATTCCTTTTTTTGTCACTGAGGATTCTGAGGTTCAGAATGCTCAATTAATTCCTCAAGGTCACACAGATAGGAACTGGAGAACAGGCAGACTCAGGATTTGAAGCTGAGTCTGACTGTCCCCAGAGTCTGGGTTCTGTGAAATGACCGTTGGTGACAGTGCCCAGCGCAGGGCTGGGTATCCTGAAATGTCAGCTGTCATTCAGGCAAAGGCTTCCAGTGCCTTAGGAGGGCTTCTGGGGCTGGGCCAGGGGTTTAGGGATTGGGATCTGCCCTGAGGTGGGCAATGGGACCCTGACCTTCCCTAGTCATAGTAAAACCCCAATCCTGGCCACCCCTTGTTCTAACTCTCCTCTGAGGTAGCACTTCCTGCCTCTGGCTGCCCAGAGGGGCAGAGTAGGCCACCCCAGGGAGGAGTGACATGGACACAGGAAGCAGAGGTAGCATTTCCTAGGGTAATAACCCAAAGTCCTTACATTTACAGAGAACTCCTCATTTTTCCACAACCTTCTGAAGAAGTCTAAGCAGACTCTCTAGCCCTACTTTAGAGACAAGGAAACTGAGAACTGAGGAGGCTCAAAACCCTGCCTGACATTACACAACAAACTAGAAATGGCCTGAACTAGAACTCAGCCTCCTAAGACTTGGCCTGTTGCCTTCTCCCTCACAAGGCCCTGCAGGACCTGGCCATGACATCACGCCCACCCCTATCCCATTCCCCAGCCTTCCTGAAATGCTACCATCTCTTCCGGTCTCTTAGCCTTTCTGCTTTCTGCCTTTTGCCTGAAACCTACCCTTCCCCTTCCCCCAGACCCTCACCCTGACTCCCCACTTACCAAAGTCCTATGGAACCTTCCTGTCTCAACAAAGGTGCTTGGCACAAAGTATGAACTCAATAAACATTTGTGGAAATAAATGAATACTCTCTTGTTCCCCCTCCAAATCAGGTTAGGGGCCCTCCTCTGCTCTCACAGACCCCCATCCTTTCCCAACCACCAGTGCAATCCCCTCTAATAACCACTGCTCCCTGTCTTCCCTGAGAGACTGTGAGTTCCCTGAGGGCAGCCACTGGGTCTTATTCTCATTCTTATTCCCATACCGAGCACAGTGCATGGCACAAACAAACTCTTATTAAATACTTGTTGAAGAAATGAAAGGATAGAGAAATGAATGATTAAATAACACCATTTTGCCTTCTCTGCAACATAGTTATATATCTGGCCACAAAAATCTGCTGAGTGTTTGAATGCTGTTGAAGGGGGAAAATAGCTGTTTTTTTAAGATAATCTTTATCAGAGTAACAATGAATTTATGGTCAGGAAATGTCTTTTTCACCCCCATCCCACAAATTCCTCTGGGAGCAGGTCATGGTGGGGAGTGAAGGGGTGGGGGATGGGCCCAGAGGGTCCACATTTTCTCCTTCAAGCACCCTAATCCTGGGGTGGCATGGTATAACAAGGAACCTGCCCGTACAGGTCCCTGTCTGTGACACCGGGTACCATCCCCCACCTGATCATACAAACATCTGAAAGCTGGAGGAAAGACTATAAAAAGAAAGCACCGGCATTGAAGGAAACATCCGGCGAGGAAGTGTGCTGGGTAGGAATTGTGTGGAGTCAACAGATTTTTCCTGTCTTGTAGCAAATTTCCCAGCTGCTGTCCTTGCTGCATCAGGGCCAATTCCAGCCCAAACCAAACCACCGGGGAAATAAGTACTCGGCCAAGCCCACTGGCGGCAGGTAAGCAGCACATAGCCATGCAGGTTTCTGGAGTCCCCCACCAGCATGGCCCTCACCCTTGGGATCACCTCCATCACATGAGGAAGGGGTGAGCACAGCTCCAGACATTGCTGGGAGAATACAGCAGACAGCGCCCATCCCCCATCCTAGCCAGCTCACTCGCTCTGGTTGACTTTGACTGTATTTATGGTCTTTACAGGACCCAGAGTCACTAAGGAAATGACTTCATCCCCCAGGCTCTGACTATGTCCCCTGGCTACAGAGGTGCTGGGCTATCAGCTTTAAATCTGTAACTTTCAGCTTTCTTTCTCTTGACCTTTAAACATAATATGAAGGCATGATATGAAGGCCCTCTGCTAAGGTCATGGATGTGTGGGTGTGTCCTGGCAATCCTAGAATTGAACAGACTTCAAGAGGACATCTAATCTAACTCCTTCCTGTTACAGATGGAGAGACCGAGGCTCTAAGTAGTGTGATCCAATCCTTTGTAAACTTGGGTTTAGATTATTTCTCATGGCCTCAGTTTACTCATTTGTAAAATGTGGGGCCCAACACTTCCCTTGTAGAGATGTAGAAAGGATGTAATGATCAAATGTATTCTAAGCCAATAGCCCAGTGGCTGGCACTTAGTAGGTGTTACCATAATAAGTCCTTCCCCCTTAAGGTAACTTTGCTCAAGGTCACATAGCAAAGGAGGTGGCAGAGTTGGGACCAGCTCTCAGAGCCCAGGACTCTTGGTTCAGTGCTCTTGCCATACAACTTGTAGCTTCTTTTTAGCAAAAGGTAAGGGTAAGTGCACACACTCAGGGTCACCTGGCCTAGCTTTGCATTCTTACTGAATCACTTAATCCATGGGGAACTTGGGCAAGCTGCATAATTGTTATAAGCCACAGTTTCCTCATTTATAAAATGGGGATGATAACAGGAGAACCTCTTACTGGTGTGAAAGGTTTGAATGAAAAGGTACATTTACCCTGGGAAGCAAAGGCCCAAGTCAGAGTAATTGCTCAATTAACATTGTTAAAAACCAAAAACCAAACTCACTGCTGTCAAGTCGAGTTGACTCACAGTGACCCTATGGAAGTAGATTGCCCAGCTTCCCTCCAAGGAGTGGCTGATGAGTTTGAACCACCAGCCTTCTGGTTAGCAGTCAGATGCCTTAGGCACTAGGCCACCAGAGTCATAAAGTCAATTTCAACTCATAGTGACCCCATATGACTGAGTAGAACTGCCCATAGTTTTCTAAGAAAGTAAGTCTTTCTCCTGCAGAGCTTCTGGGTGAGTTTGAACCACAACCACTTGGTTAGCAGTTGAGCACTTAATTGTTGCACTACAAGGGCTACATCAATCGCCATTAGTTATTACTTACAAGCTTGCCACCTCCCTGCTGATTCCTTCACAGCAGTGGAAATGGCCAAGAGGATCCACAGTCCTTAAAGCCCCTCATGGAGCTGTCCTACCTGTGGGGGAAGAGGGCTACATCTGTGCTGTTATGTCAAGACAGTCCCAGCTGGCCTTCCCTAAGAGATACGGCAAGTTTATGGAAAAGAGCTGTTATCTTAATAGAAGCAGATCACCAGGTCTTTCATTCATGGTACTGTTGGGTGGGTTTGAACCACCAACCTTTGCTTAATAGTCAAGTGCAAACCATTTGCCAATGGAGCAGTTCTACTCTACAACACATGAAGTCACCATAAGTTGAAATCAGCTAGATGGCAACAGGTATTTTGCTTTGGAGGTATGTTTTTAATGTGAAAGGGGGAGCAGGGTGGAGCCCGCAAGACACTGGGATAAGGAAAGTAGAGCCCGAGCACCTTTAGGATGCCTTACCTTAGTTGCATTCTCCACAGACCTACTCTTCTGCCCCAGAATTTGACCTCAAACAGGGAGGAGGGAATATTTGGTCATCCATTGTACAAAATATTTATTACCTATTACGACGTGCCAGGCTGGGAGCTCTGGTAGCATAGTGCCTAAGGCACTTGACTGCTAACCAGACAGCTGGCGGTTCAAACCCACCAGCCACTCCTCGGAAGGAAGATGGGGCAATCTACATTCGTAGTGATACTGCCTCAGAAACCCAAGGAGGGGTCGCTATGAGTCAGGGCCGACTCAACGGCAAGTAATAACATAACATGTGCCAGGCACTGTTCTGAGAGAGTAGGGAATGGGTCAGATAAAAATCCCTGCCCTCACTGGAGGTCACATTTTGATGGATGGCTGAATGACTTTACTGTTCAGCCAAAGTTGACTAAATCCCTCCTACTCTGTGCCATGAGCTGCAAAGGCATTGGAGGAACAATGGTGAGTAATATCAATGCATTCATAGTTACTTCCATTTGTTGAATGCTTAAGAGGTGCCAGGCACTATGCTAAGCCCTTTAAATACAACATCTCATTTTACCCTCACAACAGTCCCAGAGGTGGGTGTTAATTATTATTCCCATTTTACAAATGAGGAAACTGAGATTCAGAATAAACAACAGGGCTGAGATTACATATTCCAGATTGGTCTAACTCTGAAGGCTGGGCTGTATATCCTCTTGGATATGGATAAACAAATGCTGGTGTGAATAGCATGAATGAATGAATGGGATGAGTGAGTCTATGCTTGCATTTCCTCACTAGTGGACTGCTTCCTTTGCAGGAGTCCAGTGCCAGATACAGATGGCCCAGGTGCCAGAGTTGGTGGCCAGGCAGAACTAGACCAGGAGGAAGGGCTCTTGGACCCTGAAGAGGATTTGTCTGTGAAGCAGTTGCTAGAAGAAGAGCTGTCAAGCCTACTGGACCCTCACACAGGTAAGGTCTCCCCATGGTCACTCCAACACTGTTTCTGCCTTCAGAATCCTCATACTCTCAGGTTTCAGGTTCTACTCCAATCCACTGCAGGGAAACACAGCCATTCTTTTTTTAGGGTGGAACACTGGCAATATTTTACTTCCTCTGGAGCCTCGGAAAGTATTCCTTAAAAAAGGAAAGAAAAGAATTGGTCCATTTAAAGACCAGGTTCTACTTTATTAATTTAAAAAGTCATTGTCAGGTGAACAATTACCAAGCTTTTGCTGTATGCTAGGCACTGGGGAAGCATCTTAGACACTTCATCTCACTTAAGATTCCAAACTTCTCTGAGGTATTATTAGCTCCAATTTACAGATGGGTAAACTGAAGCTCAGAGAGGTATAGTGCCCACAGTGATTGAAGAAGGGCTGAAACCTAGCGTAAGTCATTAAGTCATTGATTTGCATCAGGTCCAACCTCATAGCAGGGTAAAACAGTCCCATGTTGTTGTTGTTATATGCCGTCGAGTCGGCCCCGACTCATAGCGACCCCTCCTTGGGTTTCCGA